TTCCCCCCCCCCCCCCCGATGTAAGTAGTCTGTGTAATCATTCCTCTAACTTTGGAAATAACCCCATGAAGGAGGTTAAATAAATCTGCAAATATAAAGAGCAAATATAAATATCAGCATGTGAAGAGGTCGGTAGTTTGTGTTTTCATGGAAAGGCATATTTTTATAGTGTAATACTATGCTATATTTTTCCTATCCTGCTCTATGGAGTAGAGAGTTGGTCTCTGACAGAAGGCCACCTGAAGAGACTAGAAGCATTTGAAATGTGGATCTACAGGCGGCTGTTACGTATAAGCTGGGTTGACAAGATCAGAAATGAGGAGGTGATAAGCCGCCTGGGAAAGCCAAGGGAAATCATCAAAACAATTAAAAAATGAAAATTAGAATATTTCGGACATGTGATGCGAAACCCAGAAAAATAAGGCATACTCCATTTAATCCTCCAGGGAAAGATTGAAGGCAAATGAGGTCCAGGCAGAAGAAGAACATTGTGGGTTCAAAATCTAAGGGACTGGTTTGGACAGAACTCAGCAGCACTTTTTCGTGTGGCTGCTGATAAAAACAGGATCGCTAACATGATTGCCAACGTCCGATAACGGATATGGCACAAGAAGAAGATACCAAGAATATTGGCAGACAGGGAACTGAACCAATTTCCTTCCCTTATTAAAATGCTTTGCTTCTTCCTCTGAATTTTAACCACACATTAGCTCTTAAACTTTTAGGACTCCTTTCCACTTTCAAAAATTATGGAGGACAGCAAAAGAGGGGTTTTTTTGTTTGTTTGTATGGGTTATGTTTATCAATATTTACAGAAATAACAAATAAAATTAATGCATTTGCTGCCATTACTGCTTCTCAGAAAAGTTTGATGGGATTTTAATACTGTACTATTTTTCAAGATTGGCTGGCAAATTATTTTGATTTTGCACAGCCCTGAGAGGGTCTTGGGGAAATCCCCAAGGGTGCTGGGACCAGACTTTGAGAAAAACCAGCTTACATAAACTCTTAGGATGACAGCTATGAATTCCTGAGCTGCCTCTGCTACTGTGCCCAGGGAAGGAAGATGGACGTCCCTCAGCACCATAAGCCCAGAGAATTCTATTGCCAATTCAGCCACAGCACCAAAGCAGTTTGTGCAGGAAGCCATTATGTAGCAGGAAGACTTGATGGAATGGCAGCCAACCCATCTGATTCTTAGTACCAAACCATGAATAGGTCTCACATTTGGTTATCTGCAAGGTAGCCAGAGCCAGGACTTGATCCAATGGAAAGCAACAGCCTCAAATGATTAGTGCATCAATATCAACAGCACAGAGGTTGAGCAGTCTGTTGAACTGAAGACAATAGGTAAAGCTGCATGCATGGGAAAAGATCACCCTGTACCCATCAATTTTGGTGTGGAGGATGTTGTACATGTCTACCTGTGCAAGCCACATAATGTTTTTTAGAATCTTTCAATAAGTCTAGTAGGTTAGTACTGCATTAATAAACAAATAAGCAAACAAATAGAACAGTGATAGAATATAACCCCAGAACCTCAATTATTCTAAAAAGAAAGCAGATTTCTGCTGTCTTGCCTAGTATAGCTCTCTGCAATGAAGAAGGTATATTTAACTAAAGGAAAGGTGTAGTTTAGATGTTGTGAATCGAAGAAATTGTGTAGTAAAGAAACCTAAGCATGTGGCGTTTGCTTTTTTGGACTATGCAAACTTTACAATTCAGTACATCCTCTACCCAGTAAATCCAAGAGATCGAAACAGAACTGGAGTTCTAATGTAGGGCCGAGGCTGAGAACATGCCACCCCTGAAGGACTCCAGCTTACTACTGATGCTTTACATTGGCAACAATCAATTCTCTCCCTCTGTTCTTGTTGCCAGCAAGTTTCATGATGGAAATCAACATTCACCTCAATCCAATTTCAGAGTGGCAAAAGCTTTTTTCTGCAGGAATGCTGCTGGACACAAGAGATTTGGTCTATATTACTCCTAATATAGGCACCGCCATTGGAAAAAGTGTTTGGCTCTCCTCTTTCCATATAGTTTTCTTTGACTAATACCAAGTGTGCGTTCAAATATTTCTCCTTTCTCAGCCAAGGATAATTGTCCATGGCAGATTTAAACTGCTCATCTCCCGTGCTGAAACCAGCTGGAAGTTTCATTTTAAGAAAGCATCGCTGGATTTCAAGCTTTGGTAAAAAGGGCAGGCAGTTTGTTCTGTCTGGATGGCAGTGATCACAGCCCCCAATGGGCAGAGTCTCCTGCTTCTTTATCCACAACCCATCTGTGCTGGGAACAAAGCCCTATTGTCTTCTTTTCCACAAGCGGATCTTTAAGGATATGTTCTTTCCATTCTTTTTATATGAACCCCCATCCATGAACTGCCTGTTATACTGACATCTTGAAATCTGGTGCATAAGCAAAAAGCTTCAGGACTTCCTCAAAAAATGAACATTTCTAGTGGGGCTAGAAGGGGAAACCAGAAGAACTTCTGCCAATTTCACCCCAGTTCTAGAAAGAAAGAAAGAAAAAGAAAGAAAGAAAAAAAGAAAGAAAAAAAGAAGGAAGGAAGGAAGGAAGGAAGGGAGGGAGGGAGAGAGGGAGGAAGGAAGGAAGGAAGGCCCAACATTTCATTTGCTCTGTGAAATTTACTGGTGAAAAAAAGAAAAAAGGTCATGGGAAAATAAATCCCTAAAACTAATGCAGCACTTTTTCAGGAGATGTACCTGAAAGAGTTATAATGAGTTAGTTAATGCAAGGCTTTCACAGTATCTCTCAGCATCTGGACTGGGTTGCTTTTCTTGAGATGAATATTCAATTTATTTCCCTCCCTCTCCCTCCAACTTTCCCATAATCTTTTATAGGCTTTCATCTTCGTACAGTGCTTGATAAAATAGACTCACCTATGGTTACTGTAATATTTACTTTCCAATTGAAATCAGGCAAGTTTCTTTCTATGGCACACCAATAAATGTCAGCATCTTCCTCTGAGATGTTCTCTATTCTCACTGTGAATTCGAATTGCGTTTGATTGTCCTGGATGACAGTTCTGCCAGCCCTCTTTTCTTCCTCAGTCCCATCAGTCTTAACAACGTATTTACAGGGCTGCCATTCAGAGCCTTGGCACCAGTACTTCTTGTAGTTGTAATAATTTTTGTCATATTGACACATTACAAACAGCGTCTTGCCAAGGGAAGCCTCCAGCATTGAAGGGCCTCTAACCATAGTCGTCAAACCTGAAAAAGAGGAGCATCCAAACTCAGGCAGCCATTCAAGCCATTATCTTCTTTGCAGGATGGAAAAAGTGGTTTTGCCATACAAGGAACAACAACAAAAAATACTCAAAGAAGAGAAGTGTTCTAAAGATTTCCGTCCCACAGAAACGTTAGTTTCACTCCACGGAGTCTTGACTTCTTCTGATGAAGAGATGACATGCAGATCCATTCTCTGTTAATAAAACAACTGATTGACAAGTATATTTGAAAATTAAAAATCAAAAGGTACTTGTTTGGTACATGGAGATCATGTGAATTAGCAAAATAAATATAGAAATTTAATATTCTCTCTCTGGGTGTGTATACAATTCAAATGAAACTAACATCAGCCTAACTGAGTTCCTCCTCAGCTCCTTAGCATAGCCATAAGAAAGAGATAGATACAGTATTTTCATTCTAGTTTATAATTCACCATAGTCTGAAATCAAATTGACCGTAATTTTCACTATAACTTGTGAAATTATCCATCTCTCCGAACCATTAAAAATAAACACTTCTATCCGTTTTAATGAGATATCCTGTTCTGAAACAGATGACCTAAAAGGGAGATTGCTGTAGCACCTTTTGGTTTATAAGGACCACTTTCTTCAGCAATGGAAGATAAGATCTGGACCACTCTCGGTAGTTGACCAGGCCCTCTGTAAATCAGATTGTCAAATTGTCAATTCAGAGAAGAAATGAGTACCCCAACATGCAACACACTCTGATGGGCACTGTAATAGCCATAAGCGCCCTCTAACTTGTAGAGTCAGGACTATTACTACATGGATTTGACAAGCAAGCAGCTCATTCTACAGAGGCCTAGTCATGAGAAAAGTCAGAAGCTACAGAGAGAAGGGAGAAACTTTGCAGTAGCTGAAAGAGGCCTACATGCAACACAAGTTGTGCGTATAGCAGGACTAGCATTGGGAGGAGATGAAGACTACACTACTATCTCACTGGATCAAAAAAAAAAAGCAAACTTAGTTAGCCCAGCTGTGGACTGGGAATAAAGGGAAGGCTACATCATGCAGATGTGTCCTTCAAGAACAGTTAGGGAGGCATCCCTTGGCTGAAGTTTCGGAACATGGTGGATGTGTCTTGTGCTTTTAACTATTTTTGTTCCTCAATGTAATTACATACTGTAAAGCAAGTGCAGCTATGAATATCCAAAATCACGTTCTTTACAACACACAAGTGCTTCAATCCCATGCACCTTATCAATTAATAATAAAGCAGCGATTGAATGTAAAGTTTCCCATTTCTTTCTGCCTTTTGGGGAAGGTCACATCAGTAAAAAGCTTCCACATTCTCTTTACTAGCCATGGAAGCTAGTCTGTTATGGCTGCGATCCTAATTTGTGATACAGCTGTCTGAGAATCATTGTCATGCCTCCGTCCAAGCCTGACTCTGAGGAAGACATGGAGTTCTCTGTTGAGGCCCAGGAGGGGGTGTCTGTGGCTTCGGAGGACTGTGGGGAGGAGCAGGCTGAGGCAGGCCAGGGCCCTTCAGGTTTGGAACAGGGAAGGCAGAGTTCAGGCGAGGAGCAAGCCCCCCCCCACCTGATCCTAGAGCAAGGAGAGCAGAGAGGAGGAGGGAACAACGGAGGCAGGCTCACTTGCTCGGGAGGAGAGCGTCCCGCCCCACTCCACAAGGCACACCTGGGGAGTAGGATTTAAGGACACGCTGTGGGGTGGGGCATTTGCCGGGAACAAACGTGAAATCTTGAGATAATGTGCTCTTGTAACCTGGACACTTTGTATTCTGGACCAGTTTTCTTCCTGCTGATCTCTCCTTGCAGTCTGCAGTTTGCAGTTTGCAGTTCACAGGCAAGCTGGGAGTTAAAAGGATTATACGTTTGCTTGTTATCTGTCTTGCTTTAAGAACAGTGTAAACTTCCCTGGCTGTTTTGTTTGAACTCGTGCCAGCATATGTGGGGGCTGTTGGGTGAACATTGGCAGTGATTAAAAAGACTATTGCTCTGGCCAGCTGATTGCTTTGCCTCCGTTCGGGGCCCTGGGTCATCACATTCATACTTTCCTTGTCTCAAGAGGAAAGCTGAAAAGATGGGATGGGTATACATATGTTTTTTAGAACAAGTACGGGAGACAAGCAGCAAAATCACCCTTCCACTGGAAATAACAAGAGCAAATAGGGAGTATCCTTCCTGGGGCACACATGGCCAACAATTGTGTGACTCCATCAGCAAACCACCAAGGACCATTCCAGACTTTGAATATCTTTGGTTCTTTTCAACCTCAGAACTCTAGAGTTTTTTTTTTTTTTCCTACCCTTCTGATGGAGAAGAAATTTACATTCAGGCAAAGTCATTCCTTACTTGGGAGGGTGGGGGAAGGAGATCCTTCCTCTTGAATGATTACCTGCCACCTACAGGTAATCCCCGACTTACAACAGTTCATTTAGTGACCATTCAAAGTGACAACACCACTGGAAAAAAGTGACTTGTGACCATTTTTCACACTTACGACCATTGCAGCAGCCCCGTGGTCACGTGATCAAAATCCGGACGCTTGGCAACTGACTCCTATTTATAACAGCTGCGTTGTCCCAGGATCATGTGATCACTTTTTGCGACCATCTTGCAGGCAAAGTCAATGGGGAAAGCCAGGTTCACTTAACAACTGTGTTACTAGCTTAACATCTGCAGTGATTCATTTAACAACTGTGGCAAGGAAGATCATAAAATGGAGTGAAATTCTCTTAACAAAGAAACGTTGGGCTCAATTTACGGTCGTAAGTTGGGGACCACCTGTACTCTCCTTCCTAACTCTGTTTCACTTGGCCAAATTCAGGGGAAAGTCCTGCAAGATGCTTTGCCAGCTTGCTGAATTGATGATTAGCTGAGATGAAATTCTTCACAGAATGGACAGTAGCTGGAATTGTTTTACTTGAAAATACCGGCAAAAGGGAAGCAAATTCTCTCCAATTTGATGGAGAGGAGAGTTGGGCAACCAGCTGCCCTTCTCAGAGCAAACTGGGGCTGGATCATGAAAGACTGGCACTGCTCAAAGAGCAAACCAAAGTCACGCTAGACCGGTGGTTCTCAACCTTTTTAATGCCGCGACCCCCAACCGGTTGTAAGTCGAGGACTAAACCAGTTGTAAGTCGAGGACTAAACCGGTCGTAAGTCGAGGACTAAACCGGTCGTAAGTCGAGGACTACCCAACTGGTCGTAAGTCGAGGACTTTCCCTGCCCGGGAGCGCCACACATGCGTGGTTCCGCCCCCTGCGCCGGCCGAGGCATAGCTGGCAAGCGGCAGAGACGGAGCAGGCCGACCACCAGCTGGCCCAGCTCAAGGGAGGTAAGGCACCCGCCGGAAAAGGGGGGGAAAATGGCGGACAGCCTTGCTTGGCGACCCCGTGAAATGGTCGATCGACCCCAAATGGGGTCGCGACCCATAGGTTGAGAACCGCTGCGCTAGACATATCTGAGCCTGTGGAGGGTGAAGACAAACTGGAGAAGCCCTGGGTTGCTTTTCTAGTGCGTTGCAAATGTTTTGTAGTTAGAACAGATGTGGTGCAGCAATGTTCAGCAATAGGAAACCTGGCAGAACCAGTAATTCTGAGACAAGCAAAGTAAAGAACTTCACTTGGAAAGAAAAGCTGAGGTTGCAGTTGCCTAACTAGTCACAAGTCCCATCCCAATAGCCACAATCCAGAAACCTTTTCAATGTTGTGGTCAGATTGGTGACTTGGCCATCCAGAACAACTGCAATCTCAAAACAAAACCGTAAAAAACCCACAAAGAATAGTGGTTTGGAACAGAAGTGGGGACTGACCAAATTGCAGGGCTAGACACGGAAAGACTCCAAAAGCAGAACTTGACGGGAACAAAAGCTGACCACGCATCCAGGAAGAGAGCTTCTCTCATGAAAGTGTGAGAGAAAATAAGAACTAACATCTCAACTAAGCCAGTGGGCCATGTGGGAAGCAATCTTCAAAATGTTCCCAAACAGTACTTTGAAAACATCTGAATTGTGGAGCTGATCTAGAACAATATAGCAGAAGCCCATAATTTAGTTTTTATTAATAAGGCAATCAGAGAGCTGTTAGAAGGAAAGTTTCTGAATGTCATTTTCCAAGCAAAATTGCTTCTCCCTACACCAGGGGTAGGCAACCTTGGCTCTTTTATGACTGGTGGACTTCAACTCCCAGAATTCCTGAGCCAGCATAGCTGGCTCAGGAATTCTGGGAGTTGAAGTCCACCAGTCATAAAAGAGCCAAGGTTGCCTACCCCTGCCCTACACTATTCACATTCTCATACGGTGTAACAGACACTGTTGCTTAAAACGATGCCTTAAAATCCCAGATCAATCATAAAGAAACAACACCAGCTATTCAAATTCTTCATTTCAATCACCCAGACGTTTCAATTTCTTATGCTTTTTCCTTAAAATAACTGAGCTACAGCTGCTTGTGATCTGATATAATCAAAACTATATTACTTCTTGGAAAGAGCTGCCAATCTATATAAATAAAAATGTAAATGTTCGTTTGTTCAAAATCTTAAATCTCCGAAAGTTCTTCACCGATTGCTTTGAAATTTTGACACAACGTTGCATTCGAATACGCGCGTGTTTTTATATACCTATATTATATAGATGTCCACACCTGTGACAGGTAAAACATGCTTTTTAAAAAAACCAGCACCATCTGTTGGACGTAAAAGCAACACACGCTTTTACCAGACTGAGCCACAGCAACGTGTGGCCGGGTACAGCTAGTAAGAAATAAAACAAAAATGTTTCTCCTGAAATGAAGTTCTTCTAACATCTGCCTGTTATATCTCCGCACTTAATGACTGTTTACTGACATTGCTGCTGGTATATTACGGAAGGAAAGAAATTTTTCCCATTGTTCTACAGAAATAAAATATTTTCGGGTGGAATTTTACACCACTCAGTACTGTTACAAAAAGTATAATAAATAAATGCAAGCTATGGAACCAATGCAAAAAAATAGTTAACACGAATCTTCAATTAACTCAATAATAGTAACTGTCTTAGAGTCCTAGTGGACAATCACTTAAATATGAGTCAGCAGGGTGATGTATTGTAGTTACCAAAAAGCCAAAGCAGATCTAGGCTGCATTAACAGAGGAAGAGAATCAAGATCACATGAAGTATTTATACCACTTTATAATGCCTTGGTAAGTCTACACTTGGAATATTGTATCTAGTTTTGGTCACCACAATATAAAAAAGATGTTGAGACTCTAGAAAGAATGCAGAGAAGAGCAACAAAAAACAAACAAAAGCAACAAATTAAGAGGCTGAAGACTAAAACATATAAGGAACAGTTGCTGGAATTGGGTATGTCTAGTTTAATGAAGAGAAGGACTAGGGGTGACATGATAGCAGTGTTCCAATATCTCAGGGGCTGCCACAAAGAAGAGGGGGTCAACCTATTTTCCAAAGCACCTAAAGGACAAGAAGCAATGGATGGAAACTAATCAAGGAGAGAAGCAACCTAGAAAAAAGATAAATTTCCTGACAGTTAGAACAATTAATTAGTGGAATGGCCTGCCTTCAGAAGTTGTGGGTGCTCCAACACTGGAGGTTTTTAAGAAGAGATTGGCCAGCCATTTATCTGCAATGGTATAGAATCTCCTGCTTGAACAGGGGGTTGGACTAAAAGACCTCCAAGGTCTCTTCCAACTCCGTTATTGTGTTATTTTGTTATTCTTTAAACTAGAGAACACTCGCTTGTCACAGCTTACTGCAGTTACCACTATTAACTCATAAGACCCCTCCCATTTATGGCTTTGATGCCTCAGAATTCTAGGAATTTGCTGGGAGACGTGGATCCAACTATCTCTTGCTGCTATGATCCCTTAGTGTAAACTAATATAAACCTCTCACCTTTTAGGAAGAGATCAAAAAGGAGGAACAGTCCCACAGTCAGGTACTGCTGTAGCATGCTGTCCTTCACTGCACACTCGCATTCTCCTTTAACTTCTAACTGTTGGTTTGACTGTCATCAAAGATCTCGGCAAAGCAATTTTCCCCTGTCATTTGCATAGCACACTCTTGAATGCAAATTGTATCGCCATTACTTCTGCTTTTTCCACCCAGTTATGAGGATTCTACTTGCTCATGATGAAGAAAGAGGAAGCAGAAGCCCACCACCAATAATTTACAACTCCAGTTTTTCAAGCATCTTGTCATAATACAAAAGGAAGGAAATATAACTGTAAAAATTAAAGATCTTCTCGGAAAAGCAATTTTCCCGTCATTTGCATAGCACACTCTTGAATACAAATTGTATCATCATTACTTCTGCTTCCCCCCCCCCCAGTTATGAGGATTCTACTTGCTCATGGTGAAGAAAGAGGAAGCAGAAGTCCACCACCAATAACTTACAACTCCAGTTTTTCAAGCATCTCATCATAATATGAAAGGAAGGAAATATAACCGTAAGAATTAAGATCCTGAAACTTTTCCAGCAGAATCAGGAATTAGGAAACAGCCATTTCCTCTGAACTGGGAAAAGAGAAAGGCTATACACCAAGAGCCTTCTTTACATGAAAAATAAAATAAAATAATTTTTGAAAGTGGAAATTGTTTGATTCTGTAAGCATTTTCTACCATTTCTGAAAGATTGTGAAAGCACTGGCTGCATATACTGTATTTAGAAGAATATGAAGGTCTTATTATAAGCAAAAGGGGGGGTCTAAAATATGAAGAGTCTGAAGCAACCAATAGGGGGTACCAGGTATAGTATAGGGGGTACCTTGCTCAATAGTAGTAACTGTGAGAGGGACCTCGGAGTCCTAGTGGACAATCACTTAAATATGAGCCAGCAGTGTGCTGCAGCTGCCAAAAAGGCCAACACAGTGCTGGGCTGCATTAACAGAGGGATAGAATCAAGATCACGTGAAGTATTAATACCACTTTACAATGCTTTAGTAAGGCCACACTTGGAATACTGCATCCAGTTTTGGTCACCACGATGTAAAAAAGATGCTGAGACTCTAGAAAGAGTACAGAGAAGAGCAACAAAGATGATTAGAGGACTGGAGGCCAAAGCATATAAGGAAAGGCTGCTGGAATTGGGTATGTCTAGTTTAATGAAGAGAAGGACGAGGGGGGACATGATAGCAGTATTCCAATATCTCAGGGGCTGCCACAAAGAAGAGGGAGTCAAGCTATTTTCCAAGGCACCTGAGGGCAGGACAAGAAGCAACGGATGGAAACTAATCAAGGAGAGAANTTATTATTATTATTATTATTATTATTATTATTATTATTATTATTATTATTATTATTATTATTATTATCATCATCATCATCGTACTGTACTTTAAACCATAGTTATATGAAGAACTGCATTAACTTGCAATCCTTAAAATAAGTACAGAAGACCTGAGGACTTCAGCTTCTGTGTGGATACGGCAGAGGGAAATACTATAGGAATGCTGAAAATAAACACATTATCTTGGCAAAAAGGGACAGAGTGAGTAACATGCTTGGTGACGAACCACAGATTTTCTGGAAATTTGATGAGAAAGTAGAAAAAGTTTCATATTCAAATCCACTAAAAGCCACCCACACAAACCATCTCCACAATTTACGGCAACTCAACAGCACCCAAAAGGAACTGCTTTAAAAAAAAAAAAACTATTCAGATTAGCCTGCAACACACTGGAATTAACAAAGAGCAGAAATAAATTACAACACGACAAGTTTCAACACAATGGATACTAGTGCAGGTTCAGCAATAATACAAGTCACCCTAATCACCAACAACGCAAACATTGCAACCCAGAAAAAAAACCCAGCTTGGAAACTCAACATTGCTCCAACCACCTGGAATAACCACAGCATATGAATCAACAAAGCCCCTACAAAGCATCCTAAACAAATCCAAAGATCCAGTACCAAAATAAGACAAAATAGGAGATCTACAAAATAAAATGCAATGACCACTATACAGGACAAACAGACAGAAATCTAGCAGAACATATTTGTAAACATCAATTAGCTGTGAAAAGTCTATTGTGCAACTTCATTAATTACCCTGACACCAGGGTGACACCAACTTACAACAGCAGTTGTTGCTGTTCCGGTTTCTATCATTAGGCAAATCCCACACAGTCGGTGTCCTGCAGTCACAAGATCACCATTTGGGAACCTCCTGCCAGCTTTCCCTTTGACTTTGCTTGTCAGAAATTGACAGTGAAAGTTGCAAATGTTGATCACATGACTCTGAGACATTGCTACTTTCATAATTGTGAGCTGGTTTCTAAGCACTAAAATCATGATCATGTGATTGTGGGGAAGCTGTGATGAACACAACTACAAGGAACAGTTGTAGGTCCTCTGGTTCAGTGCCATTGTAGCTTTGAACAGTTGCTGAACAAATGGGTATTAAATAAGAACTACTTGTAACTTCATTAGAAAATAATAAAAACTTAGGTCTTCAAAACTGAAAGGGAATTCAGCTTCTGAGTGGACTAGAATTCTCTTTGGTGGACTAGATATCCCAGAAGGAAGGGGATGGCATTGTGACAGAGATTGGGGGATAGATGGTGAATTCTGGCTGGTGTGGTTTCTCCTGACAAGGAAATATTGTGGGATCAACTACTAGCACTCTAGACAACTGCTCCTTGTGATGAGACTGCAGGAAGTGAGGTTCCTCATGAGTCAAAAGGCTAGAGGTTGATGGATTTCAGTTAAGCTCACAATTGTAACACAACCTAACTGGACACAAAGTTCACAAAAGCCTCACTTTCTTAATCACTATTGGATGTAATCAATTTATACTTGAAGGAAAAAAATGGAAAGCCTCCCTTTTAGCTTCCCTCTTGTAATTGATACATGTTCATTTTGTATTAGAGTATTAGAATGGCAGCTATCAAGAAAGCCACAAAACTAATAGCTTTTGAAGACAGAATGGATGAAAGACTTGTACAGTTAAAAGAGGAGATAAAAGAAGAAGTTAAGAAGATGGAAAATTCTGTAAAACAAGTCACTGGACAAAATGACAAAGTGGAAAATTTGGAAAATAAGACAGAAGTTACAAATGGAGAGAGGGAAAGAGATTGAGATAAACTGGCATTATTGGAGCTGAGAGACAAGGAATTTTGCTTGAGATTCAGAGTGATTACAGAGGATTCTGGTGAAGATATTAGGGGAAAGGTAATTAAAGCTTTATCATTTTTTTTAGGAATGTGATGAAGAACATATAGAGGCAGAACTTGACAAAGTTTATAGAACAAATACAAAATTGGCAAAATTAAGAAATGTTCTGAGGAAAGTCCTTCTTTGTCAGGAAGAACGGAGTAAGTTCTGCAGCAGCACTTCAATACAAGATGTAACAGAAGCCATCTTGAGAAAACTGTATTGGGAAATGCCATGAGTTCAAGGGATTAAGCAGGTAGCCCACAGGGAGTCATCTATCATCTTGGTCAAAGACCTGCCAAATGGAATAGAAAAGAGATGGCACAATTAGGAGCTTTGTCAATCACACTGTCTCAGACATGAACATTGCAAGGTAAAGTCGGGTAGCTGAAGGATGTCAACGCGGATGCCTAAGGTGCTCCAAGAGCATGAACGGCCATCATATCTAGAAAGATTGTGCGCAACATTCCTATCACTCCATTCCCTTTTTAAAAGGGCATAAGAATATGAACAGATTGCTAAGGATGTCATTCCCAACCTCATATGCCTCATTTGAGCGAGAACTCAAATCATCCCATCCAACCAATCTCAGGAGGATCTGGTTGGGAAAGCTGCCTTTAACACAGCCTGAATCTGTCCTGATTCCTAGGAAGAACTAGGAAGTGACTAAAAGCTTTAGGAGAATAAGGACCATTCGGAGTGAGAACTTAAAAGGAGTAGATTTATGCATTAAGTGGAATCAGGTCTGTCGTTTTAAGCATTTCTCCACTACCACCTTATATCCTGGAAAATAAAAATGCAGGAAGGGAGGGAGGAAAAGTTTTGGTGATTGTATCATCTCTTTCAAGCTAAGAGACTAGGGCAGGGGTCTTCAGACTTGGCCCTTTTATGACTTGTGGACTTCAACTCCCAGAATCCCTCAGCCAGGCACACTGGCTGAGGAATTCTGGGAGTTGAAGTCCACAAGTCATAAAAGGGCCAAGTTTGAAGAACCCTGGACTAGGGCAAATGAGCCAAGATAGAGAAAAGGGAAGGGCCTTCACACATTGTGTTTGAGTTGTAAGAGAAGGGCCACATTAGTATACGGTAGCAAAAAGTCAGAAGTCTGATAGCACATTTTCAACTAGCACATTTTATTAAAAGGCATATGCTTTTGTGAGCTGCCAAATGTCTATGAGAACCTCCCCCCCTCCATTGAGCACAATCACTAATGTGTTGGATTCATCATCCCCATCCATCACAATATTCTCTTTAAGGTGCAAAAAAGAGGAGGAGTCACTTGGTGTCCTACTTTCCATCTCTGTTCTGCTGCTGTATATGCACAAAGAGATTAAAGCTGGACTAATCAAAGAATCCTCCCTTTGGGACCTTCTCTGCTAATTAATCATTGCATTGTTTCCACTGGCTTTGGAAAATTCTGGGCCTTTTGATATAAACATCTAATGTAAATTCTTGCCCATTGTTCAAGCTTCTCTCCCTTTTTTCTCTCTTTGTGTTTGCCTGCCTTTTATCCTGCTTTTGCCAGTTTTTTTAATATATATATATTTATGGATGTTTCATAAACAAAGATATTTTTGCTAGTTGAACTGAGAGGCGTGTGTGCTTGCTCTGATCTGGATAAAGAGACTGACTAGGAGGCTGCTGGGTACAATTGGGGAAAACCCACAATAATCTTCCAACGTAGTGTACATTCATAATTAATTCATTGTAAACTTTTCAGTTGCTGGAATTCAAATTGTTACTGCCAAACAGCCCTTTCTTGCTTTAAAGATGGATACATATTTCAATAATTTATACTCCACTGGTCTGTGGCTAAGTAAAGTAGATTTATTGTTGGTTATTACCTTTATTAGGATCAACCAAAATGACTTGCTTTGCTAACTTTCAGAGCATTTGGGTTTTTTGTTTTTTTGTTTTTGTTTTACCAAATCACTTTCTGCCACCTGATCTGAAAACATTTTCAGGTGAATAATAATAATAAAAAAAATACCAGCAACTCTGTAGCATCATTTTGATTGTTTCTAACTAAAACATCACCAACATATAAATTACAGATTATCTTCCACAGATCAACAGTTGGTCTTTAAAACAAACAAAACAAAACAATATCTGAAGTAGTTGTAGCATTTTGGCTCCAGAGTATCTCTTTTTCTGACATTAGACCTCTTACCTTCGTTTTGAAAATATGTAGAGATGGGTTATTCTGAATGGATGAGCAGAGGCAACCCCGTATTAACCATTAGGCAAATTAAGCCCAGGATCAGGGGTTTAAGAGGAGGGCCAGAGTTTTTCCCCTAGTTATTATACCTTTAACTCTTTCACTGCCATACTCAACTTTAGTTTTCAGTACATTTTCATATTTGCGTTTCCCCCCTTATATAACCATTTAATTACAACAGGCATTCAAAAGGGTTGAAAATCTGCATTTTTTTTCCTGTTCCCTAGTTATAAATAAATAATTTTCTTATTTTGCTTACTTATATTTACTTATGCTTACTTATATTTTGCTTACTTATATTTAGTATAGTTGCAGGATCCAACCTAGGGGATGGCCTGGAAGAAAGCATTAATCTTTAATCTCTTATTTAAACTTCAACATTTATTGAACTTAATGACTTGTCACTGAAACAAAGGAAAATCCGAGAGGCTCTATTGTTGGCCTGTGCTTTGGGTATCCATTGGCTTTCATCTGTACTTGACTAAAAACCTTTAATTGAAAACTTTCAAGATATGAGGGAGATCCCAGCTTGGCTGGCTGAGGCATTCTGGGAGTTGAAGTCCACAAGTCTTAAAGGTGGCAAGGTTGGACACCCCTGCCCTTAGGTTCAGGAGCTACTGAGAAATGAAGACAGCTTAGACTTAAGGAAAAATTTCCTGACAGTTAGAACAATTAATCAGTGGAATGACTTGCTTCCAGAAGTTATAGGTGCTCCATCAGTGGAGGTTTTTAAGAAGAGATTCAACAACCATTTGTCTGAAATGGTAAAGGGTTTCCTGCTTGAGCAGGGGGCTGGACTAGAAGACCTCCAAGGTCCCTTCCAACTCTGTTATTCTGTTTCAAACCCATGCCTGTGTTTCTCTGCCGAACTGTAAGGCAGAGATGATTTGGCTCGTGGCCATAATATAGCAGGTGGAACATCGCCAGTTTTCATTTGGTTCATAGATTTGGATCATTATTCCTCCCGAAATGCTAATCTGGTTTTCCTGTTTGATTTTCTGCAGACCATCCTGGTGGGAGACAGCGGAGTGGGGAAGACATCACTGTTGGTCCAGTTTGACCAAGGCAAATTCATCCCCGGCTCTTTCTCTGCGACTGTTGGAATTGGATTTACCGTAAGGACCCCTCGGGTGCCCCATCTGGTGGGGAATGGTTTACTCTGAAAGTCCTGGTGTTTGGCTTCTGGTACAAGAGCTCAGCAGACAGTCGTAGTAAATAAGTTCAAGCGAACAGATCTAGAGAAAAACAAATAACGACAGATAATGTGGTAATGTGATAAATGTATTATGTTGGAATTTGGGGTATCTTGGCACTAGAGATGGCTAGGGCAGGGGTAGGCAACCTTGGCTCTTTTATGACTCGTGGACTTCAACTCCCAGAATTCCTGAGCCAGCATGGCTCAGCTTGGAAAACCTCCCTTTCCCCTCAGCATGGCTGGCTCAGGAATTTTGGGAGTTGAAGTCCACGAATCATAAAAGAGCCAAGGTTGCCTACCCCTGGGCTAGGGGTTTCTTTTTGGTTGGGGGTTGAGTTCCTTCAAGTCTTGACTCCTGGCGACTGCCTGGACAAGTCCCTTCAGTGGATTTGGCAAGATTTTCAGAAGTGGTTTGCCCTTGTCTGCTTCCTAGGATTGAGAGAGAACTCTTAGTTTCTAGGCCTGGGGCCTTAAACCATATACCAAACTGGCTCTAGGAATGAAATTAATGTAGGCGAGCGTACAGTTGTCCTCAACTTACGACCACAATTCAGCCCAAAATTTCTGTTGCTAAGTGAAACATTCGTTAAGTGACTTTTATCCCATTTTACGACCTTTCTTGCTACAGTTGTTAAGTGAATCACTGCAGTTGTTAGTAACATGAGTGTTAAGTGAATCTAGCTTCTCCATTGACTTTGCCTGTAAAATGGTCGCAAAAGGTGGATCACATGATTCCAGGATGCCGCAACCATCATAGATATACTGCAAAGGTCGTAAGTGGAAATAACAGTCATAAGTCCCTTTTTTCAGTGCCGTTGTAACTTTGAACGGTCACTAAATGAATGGTTGTAAGTCAAAGACTACCTTAGTGCATGTCTTCTCAAAAACTGGGGAACATGATGGGTATGGATGGTCGTGAAAGACTCGTTTATCAGGAGACAAATTGTAATCTTAGAGCTTGCCAGGATGGTTTTTTCCCAGTATGTCTATGTAACTTACTCTGAATTGTTTTTATTTTCTGTCTAGGGAACCAGCATAGGACTAGGGAAAAGATTAGGCTGTAGGTTGCAATTTTGCCTTGCAATATTTTTCATTTTTTTTAAACCTAAAGTAATAATACCCTGGTCTTTCTTTACCTCTTAGTGAGACGTCCCAAATTAAGAAAGCTGATTCTCAGTCATCTAAACAGATGAGTGTAGCACAGCGGCTCCCGACCTTTTCTATACCCCGCACCCAGTGGTGGGATTCAGCCGGTTCGTACCACTTCGGCAGAACCGGTAGCTAAGTTTTTGTTGCCCAGGCCCAGAACGGACTTCCGGAAGCAGCATCCACACAGAGAACTGGTTGTTCACCTATTTGAATCCCACCACTGCCAGCACCCCTAGAACGCTTCTGATATATTCTTGCACCCCTTACAAAAGTTCAAAATAACGTCAACGCGTTATGCATATAACCCTATAATTTTGAAAACCCAAGCTTTCGCACCCCCTGGAATAGCATCTCATACTCCCGGGGGGGTGCAAGCACCCCCGGTTGGGAATTATTCATCAATCACCCTCCTCAAGCAAACCCTCTGTGCTTCCTTCTATTTATTTATTTATTTATTCATTCATTCGTTCGTTTGTTTGTTTGTTTGTTTGTTTATTACTTTTGTCTCTCTTTTATTACTATGTCATGGAAAGCCGGGCCCTGTTTTACCAGAGAAGTCCTCTTAAGTGCCTTGGGAAGCTGATGAAGTTGCCCATCAGACTGAGCAGTGATCCTATTGGATGGATGCGATTTCCAGACAGAGAGGCTGACCCCTTGGTAGATGCACTTAGAACAAAACAGAATAGAATAGAATAACAGAGTTGGAAGGGACCCTTGGAGGTCTTCTATCTAGTCCAACTCCCCCTGCTTAAGCAAAATGCAACTCTTAGCGAATCTGTTCCCAAATCGGTCTCAGCTCCTGCTAATAAGAAACGAGGTTGGGGGAGATAAAAAAAGAGGAAGGGATACCTCAATTTTCATGTAGAAAGGAGAAGTGTTGCAGTATTTCTCAATCTTGGCAGTCTGAAGACACGTGGGAGACATTCTGGGAGTTAAAATCCACACATCTTCAAATGAACAGTTATTTAGGTGGGTTGTTAAAGCTTTTAAGACAATACAGATGATTTAAATATTTTTTTCCCGGTTGTATGATCTGTTTCATATATTATATTATTTTGGGCTTCTTTGGGTGCAGGAAAAGCTTCCATGTGCTTTTTTTTTGGCATCTTTTGCTATTAAGATGAGGGGGAAAATCTCTAAATCTCTTTGGCATGTTATGGCAAATAATAACTCATGTTATTCTTTGGCATCAATCTAGAAGTGACATGCATCTGTCATATTTTTGTCTTTAATTTCAAAGTGAAGCATAGATTTCCTGCTGGCCTCCCATCCAATCTTTACCAGGCTTAACCTTACATTTTGAGAACAGTCAAAATTATCTATGTGTTACCACAAATATAGTGGCAAATTTGGGATGGACTGTACCTAGATTGATTTTTTTTCCCATCCAAGTATTTTTTCCCTGGAGATTTATTATTATTATTTTGCATTTCTGTGGCTATAATGTTTTTCTAAACCTGCTGATGATCTATCATAGGAGGGCAATACCATTGTAGATACCTAAAAATCCAAACCGGGAGCGCAAGATCCCAATTGGTATATATACTGTACTGGAATATGTATAGAAAACACAAGATAGGCTGAGGGAGGAGTTTTAAAGTGCAACATCGTCCCCTTGTGGCAGTTACCAGGCAGTTTTGGTTAAGCAATCTTTTCTTTTTGTAGGACTGGCAGAATCATTCGTTGTGAAAGATTATGAAACGGAATATTAAGGATTCTGAAAGATTATGAAAAATAAATAAATATATATATATATATTAAAAAATAGAGTCAAAATTGTGGGAAAGGTGAAGTAGATAAATAATCAGCATACACAGTTGATCGGAAGGAAAATAAACTTTCCTAACTTGTAAAATTAAGAAATACGATATATAAACAAACAAACAAACAAAAACTGCAAATCTTCCCGCAAAGACCACACCAGTCCTGACAGGTTGCTCTACTGAAAAAAGTGATATGAAATTTTGTGAAGATCTGACATTGCCTCCAGAAAACATAAAATAATTTTATTTGAATTAACGTGCAAATGTCTTCAAGACATTATATAGGGTATAATGCTGTTACCTTTCACTCTTAGCAAATTTCTTCCAGTTTGTTTAAATCCTTCTTAAAATTTAATGCAAGTGGAATCTTGTCAACACAGAATATATTGACCCTACTGCATTACTTCCTATGATTTGGAGAGTATATTTCTATTGATGCAACCTAAGATTGCATTTTGTTGTTGTTGTTGTTGTTGCAATTACATTGCACCACCATATTCAGTTTGATATCAATTATTATTCCAAGATCTTTTCCACCAGTACCATTACCAAGCCTGGTGTCTCCCAGCTTACTCTCAAATGCTTGATTTCTGTTTCTTGCATGAAGAATTTTGCGTGTGAATCTATTAAGTTTCATTTTGTTATTTCCACTCCATGTCTCTAACTGAAGGTGGTTTACTAGCTGCCCTGCCCACTTTTAATTTTGTCTGCAAATATCTCCAGTCCTTCCATCAAATTATTAAGAAAAAATGTTGACGAGTTCAGAACCCAAGACTGAAAATTGTAATTATCTTTGTTAAGAAATGGGAGGGTCCTGGGTAATTTAAACCATATCTCTTTGGGTTGAGATTGAAAAATAAGACATGTGACCTCCTCCAATTTATGGATGAGGAGTCTGTTCAATTGTGTCCAATTCTTGGCAGTTTTATGGGCCAGCTCTTTTCACATTTTCCAGTCTTGTACCGCTTCTTTCAGTTTCTGCATTCCTCTCCACACTTCTCTCTCTATCTTAACTTGTGCTCCCTTTCTCTATCTTGAATCAATCAGCAAGTCCATATGGTATTCCCACAGTGGCTTCCTGATTTATGCATAGTTAACTGCACCAAACTGACCAATTTAGTTGATAACCTCAGGGTTTTTTTTAGGGCTCTCTACACAATCGATAAAGCAGATGTAGATGTTCTTTTGTTATTCTTGAGGCAGATTTGCAATATGATCACAAGTTCAATGCCCCTTTATGCAGGCATTTTGAACATCTGGCAACTCCCTTTCAATGGATAGCACCAGATGTTGTTTTATGATCTCAAGGACAATCTTGCTAGTGTGAGTAATGAGGGCAATGGTGCCATAATTACAGCAATGTTTTGACTCACCCTTTTTTTGGCCGATGAGATGGACACTGATCATTTCCAATCCTGTGGGCATGTGCTCATTTTCCAAATTTTCTGGCACAAGCCTGTGGGTGGTACAAGCCTCAGGAATTGCACCACCATTTGTCTGAAATGATATAGGGTTTCCTGCTTGGGCAGTGGTTTGGACTAGAAGACCTCCAAGTTCTCTCCCAACTTTGTTATTCTATTATTCTGTCACGCTATTCCTAGTTAAAGAACACATATTGCAAATCTGCCTCAAGAACAACAAAAGAACATCTACATCTGCTTTATCGATTGTGTTGATTAACCAAAATTCCTAGCAGAGCCATATGGATGCAGGCATTCCAAAATTAACACCAGAGGAAAGTAGGTAGATGTTGTGAGAACTGGGGCTTGTTTAGAACAGAATAACAATTGCTTAGTTGGATTTTTTTTTTTTTTTGAAGATTCCAGCAACAATCAGGCCTGAGAATGTAAGGGGGGGGGGCAAAATTACCTGTATGTGGTAGGTGGGTAGGGAGACCCTTGGCACCAGCAACAATTGGTTATGTATTTTTCTCTGGATAGAATGTTCGTTTGTGTACATGCCTGTCTGCAGCTCCTAATTAACCGTCCATCAAGAAGGAGGAGATCTT